ACAGAAGGGCCCATTACATTTGAATGCATTTGTTCTATTTTTAGAATAAACGGAGTTACGAAGAAATGCTGTTCAACCACAAATAACATCCATAAATTCAGTCATATTAATGTAGTCCATTTGATCATTCCAGGTTCCACTTAGGGATGCACTAAATTTGATAAGTAGGAGATTGACGTGAAGTGTGGAATAGGATAAGATTGTGTGATTTAATGTGTATGGGGAAACACAGTGAAAATATTAAGTTTATGGTCTCAGAATGTGTGACCATCCACATGTTGGTAGGTAAGGTGTCTCCAAAAGCGTTTCCCTTTTCCAACTCCATTTATATGTAACTTTTTTTTTAACAGATTGGACATATTTGAGTAATTTATAAGGTTTTTTGAATACCTTATTAATTTAAAAGTTTAGATAAATTATAATATTAGTGTAATAAGTAATTTTAAGATTTAAATAAAAAAATTTAAAAAAATCTCTTTAATCATCATATTTATTAAATATCTTATAAATTAAAAAAAAATAGATAAATCATAATATTACCTAACCTTTTTGATCATTATATTTATTAAATATCTTATAAATTTAAAAAACCTAAATAAGTCATAATATTATCTAACGTTTTCAGTTTGTTTTAGGTACTTGAAATCGGAATAATAGCTGGGGAGAAGAGAACTGACGAGTCACGTGAATAGTGGGAGGAAGAAGGGCTGAAATGGTGCCACAAATGCAAAAGATACAACGCATGGCCGGTGCCACAAGTGCAAAAGATACGACGCATGGCCTCAAGTCAAGACAAAACACAAAGGGAGCTCGTCGTACTAAAAAAATCTTTCCCAAATGAATGCTATTTTGTACGGACAACTTAACTTGTCTCCTCTTTCTTATCTTTGACCAAACACGTGTCCTTGTCCTTATCCACCGTTGTTGACAAGACTCCTCTATATCAACGGCACGTTTGTTCATCTCAATACGTGGCTTTATCTCCTTGTTTTTATGGTTTTGAGATTCGTGTGATCTGACGTCACTTTATCTCTTCCCATTATTAATTTTTTATTATTATTTATTTTCTCATATTTTATTGATAAATATTGGAATATCACTTACAAAATTATTTTATATAACCATATATATAAAATAGAGTAGATTGCTTTCGATGCTTTCTTCGTCCATAATGTATTTTTAATTAAGACCCTTTTTTTTTCTGTTTTTATTTTAGCAAAAACTGTATTCCAGACTATCTGATTTTGTTGTTAATTAATCTGAAATATAAACAGATTAAGACTATATAATTAACAATTAATGTTGAGTCTTGAACTTTATGATTGTTATCTATTAATTTATGCGGTGGGTTCATATATAATTTAATAGAGTGTAGTACATAACTGTAGATTAGAAGAATAATATAAGCAGTAGCCCTTCTTTTTAAATGGCCCACGATTGATGATAATCAAGAATAAAATGTGATTATTATATTGCAATAAACAACTGTTTATATATTTTGCCATGTGTGCAAAGCAATTACACCTTCACGTGAATACAAAGGGGATAATAACAGTTTCTTCCCCAAACTTTAGTTTAAGTAAGATTTTAATCCCTATTATAAATATTATTAGCGAACCTTAAAAACCAAAACTAATTGAATATGTGTTATCTGGTATCGGCCCTTTTAAAAGTGGAAATGTTTTAATAATTAATGGGAAAAATTTTCAAAGTTCACAACTCTTAATTGAAAAAGAAAGTCATGAAAAGAATGGTTACAAAGTAATTGGGTGGGGTGAATGTAACAATTTTTAATTGTACCAAGGAGGTGTCAATATTGGTCAGATTTAGAAGATCTTGATGGCTTTTCAAGGGAAAGCAAAAGATAAAGAGGAATAAGTAATCGCTCTATTTCATATACTTTTTCTTTGTTTTAGTAATTAAGGATTAGGAGATTATTGTATAAATAGAAGGCCACGTGGAAAGCATATCATCAGCCCCCACCACATGATTTCCCCTCTCAAATAGGTAAACATCTCAGCCGCTAATTTTTTATATTCAATAATATACACATAACTTTTTTTTTTTTTTTTTTTTATCTTTTTCTCAAACATGAGTATGTCAACATCCACATATTAATATCCTACTGAAGATTATATTTATGGGTCCACTCCTACTATGATTAATTTCTACAGCTTAAACTGATTTGAAGGTTTTATTAAAAAAAAAAACCATGTTACCGTATGATTTGTATTAATCTATTACAATTTTATAAATAATCCTAAATATTAAACACAGAATGTCATTGGAAAAGGTTTAATATTTTTATTTTAGCAATTAATTATTATATATAACTCTGTAAAAGATTCTAATTAAAAAGATTTAAAAAAAAAAAAAACGAAAAATGAGCATTCTGGAAATACAATGGACCTGAGTGGTGAATGACAGGGCCCATGTTTGCCCCATTATGGAAGATGAAGTATTGAAGGGGTTTCTTGTTTGAACAGTCAAAACAATTGATGCTGACAGCCTTGCACACTACTTCAAATTTGACTCCGTAAAAGAAATCCGATTTAAACTTAAATGAAAGAGATTGCAGGAATAGAAATTCGTTTTACATGTGTTTAGATTTTTTCAAGGAGAGAAACATTAAATCCATCATCAGGTTTTGGTTCAATTTTTCAACATCGATCGGTTTTTCAACTACTAAGAAATGCCCTCCTAAAACTTATAATAGTTAATCAAATTATAACTCTAAAACAATGTTTTTTTTTACACATAAACGAGTTAATTACCCCTTTTATCTTTATGTATACAAGTGAGTTATCCATTCTGTCCAAGCACGAGTTAGCGTCTATTAGTATCGGGTGATCTATCCAAATAGTTTAAACAACAGGATGTGGAGTGCGTGGAAAGAATATTGATGTCGGGTTCATATTTATGTTTCAGGTTCACGTACAAGGGCAGTGCTATAAAAAAATGTCATATTTTCTGGTAAATATTGAAATTTTGTACACTATGCTTCACGTGTAGTAGGGGCACTACCAATTCAACTATTGAGATTATTGGATAAATATGATTTTATATTAAATAAGAAATGACAAAAGCAAGTAAAATGATATAGCAAAGATTTTGCACCGTTGAATGTCATAATCATAAAAGAATAATAATATATTTTATATATATATTACTTTAAGTTTGGCAATGTGTGTCCTAGGTTTGGTTCGATTGCCTTTGTTCAACATCAATTGACAGGGATGTTTGATAGATACTTTTTCTTTTATTTATTAATCCTTTGAATTTTTGGCCAAACTTTGATGTAGTTTTTTTTTTTTTTTTTTTTTTTAATGACTCGTAAGTATTTGGACAGTTTAATTTTTCGAGACTCTGAAACTATCAAAAGGAAAAGATTTCAATGACTACTCCTATTAGCAATAGTAAAAACTTGAACTCGAGAGACTATATTAGATACTCCTCTTGTTCTTTTACTCTCAAGAGAGACTCAAACTTTCGAAATCGTAAACTGTGTTATATCCTTCCCTTACTCTTTTATCTTCTTAAAAAGTTAAGCACAGTTTAGTTACTTACTCACCAAGATATCTCCATTTTATCCCTCTTCACAAAATCATAATTTAATCAGAGAATATAGTACCTAATTAAGCAGCATGATTAAATTAATAATACAAATATCTCAAAACAATTGACGGAATCAAGTGTCTGACCATCGGAATTGGATGTTAATCCTCCAAGTTGTGTACTAATTGGGACCCAAATTCAACCCCACAGTTTGTTAAAAAGCTTCTTCTAAAGATGTTAGTTTTGTTTTATAAATTAATATTAACCCCAAGGTTTAAACAAAACCGGATGAAATGAATCTTATAAAGCTATCTTCTGTTGTGTGTTAAGATTGAAGTACCTGTAAAGTTAATTAAAATCTTATCGAAAACCCCTAACAGAATGATGAGCTCGTGGTTCAACCAATTGGTGAAGAAACAAGGATAAGGGTTTCTGGTTTTGAGTATTAATTTAAATGGAGACAAGCATGGATTCCAACTAAGCCAAGTAGGTATATTATAAAATTAATTGACCTTTTTATGTTTCGGGTATCTCATTGAACTACCTTCATGCTGCCTAATTAATTCACTAATGTTCTAGCTTTCCCTTTATCTTGTCCGCCAACAAATTCTTTGCTTTGTAGGTTCAATTGCATATTCTTCTACGTTATAATAACTGAGACTGAGAGAGACATGTCAGTGTATATGAGATTTGAGTTCAGGTTAAGAGCCTATAACTCCAGGCCCACCAGGCTAGACTTCTTGGGCTTTGTCTGAAGCCCAAGTTCATGCTTCTTGTAGGCCCTTCTTCTTATTTGTGTGTGTCTGTGTATATATATATTCTTCAATATAAAACCGAAATCTAGATCTCAAGTTGGGAGCATGCATTCTGCATAAATAATGTATTAAGTCTTTAACCCTAAGAGGTTGGTCACTGAGGTTTGCTCATTTTTTTGAGTTTCTAGATTCAAACTTTGGGATCACATATCATAATAACATTATTGTGGTTTACCTGATCCTTTGAGCTTGTAAGATGTTTAAGGGATCCATTAAGCTATTGTAACTTACTTGGTTCTTTGAGCTTGTAAGGTGTTTAATGGACTCGGAGATTAGTCGAGGTCTGTATAAACTGGCCCGAACACCCCGGTTACCAAAAAAATGATAAAAAAAAAATTTATAAGTCTTTAGAACCTGTTTGTCATCATGGAGTTAATATATTGGAACGAATCGAAAGATTATTATGTATAAATGTAGAGAAGATTAGAACGGTACGCTTTTGTGAAAGAAAAGTTCATAAAACATAAAACATTACAACAAAAAGAACACCATCAGGCGGTGCCTGGAATATTATTTCTATTCCTTATTACCACACTAAACTTAAACTACTACTGCTTGCTGCAAAATAAACAAAGTTAGTGGCATGGACAACCACTGTTTCATTACTTTCTGCTAACACCACCCTTCCCTTCACCACTTCAACTTCTCTGGAAAGTACTGCACCAAAATTAAAGAGATGAAGGCTCAGAGAACTCATTTTCACTGCATCATATTGAAATTACTACTTAAAATGATAGGCGTTTAGAATACCTTCTTGATGAGGGAGAGATAGTATGACTTCACTTCCTCCTGGTTGATCTTAATCTTGCTCTTGCTGTACAGGTCATACTTGCTACTCCAAATCAATCAAAATAAACTTTATACGTCAGTTTTAATTTATAATTAACTAAATTGTCAGGCTATTATGAACTGTATCTCGTTGCTGATTCATTTACGGTTTATTTTGTGTTGAATTTTTATAAATTAACCATGATCGTTTAATTTATCCGAAAGTTTATATTTACTTGAACACATGCAGCCAATTGAGCATCTCCTTGTCCTCATCATTCATAAGGAATGAGTACGCTCCTGATCGATGCATTGCTTCTCATAAGGAAAAATATTCTAATTAGTAATTGCATGACATTGAATTATATATAGCTACTGGAGTTTATAGGAGACATGACTCACCGTAGAAGGAGTGGAACCTGATGATGAAGAGAGCAGCTGGTGGAAGAGTAGTCTTATTGCCCTTTGCCACCTTTCAGAATAATAAATGTGATTAGTTAATATAAAGACAAAAATAATCTCTGAGATGACATGGGAAAACTGAAGTGATAACCACACATACCAGGTACATGTATTCATCATGGCCCCAGGACATAGTGATATTCTCAAGTCCACAGTTCTCAGTGTAGATACCCAGCTTGGTTTTCAATGCGGGGTTTTCAGAATCTGGGTTGTCCTTGAAAAACTGCAAAGAAACAAATTAAATTACCGTATTTTTTGTTACTTATTTATTTGGTTCTAAATTAGAAAGATTTTAATTTCCATAGATCGGAACGGCGCAGTAGTTCTGGACAGTATCACGTTACCTGGTGATGCACAACGGACTGGTCAAAAGCACATCCCAACGGAAACGTGTCACCTGAGGAAATTTACAAGTCATAAGGAGAGAAACAACACTTATTTGCATGAGCGAAATCTGGAGCCAGAAAATAAATGAAGATTCTAAAGAATATTGGAACGTACCCACAACAGACCACTGAGGCTGCTCACCGAATGATGGGTGCAGGAGAACTTTTCCCAGGTCTGCAACCGGCGCACGTTTCAAATTGAGTTAGTATATATACGTGCATGTTCATTTGAAAACATTTTTGTTATATATATTTGCATGAAAGAAAGTGGTTGATAATTGCCATGAATGAGTGCAGTGAGATGCAGCCAATCTTCATCAGGATAATCTCTCCTGATAGCCTCAGCGCTCTGGAGAAGATGCTCGATTTGGGGCTCATCGAGATCTGGGTCACTCTCGTCCACATATTCGTTGAGGAGTTCACAGCATTCCCATATGGTCATTTCGGCCTTGTCAAGTTTTTCATACTGTTCTTTCTTCTTCTTTGCCTGTCATAATTATTTATTGTTGTAAATCTGAGCATGCATGATATGTATTGCAAATTGAAAAGTAATGAAAAAAATATTTTACAAATTCGTAGGTTTGGTAAATGTGATTCTGTCTATAGAATTCCTGGACGACTGCTTTTCTGACACTCTCTTTTTCATAGTCCCTGTGTAACACATTGATGAGTCAAAATCAGGACATTGATTGTTTTATGTAAAGCCAAATTATAAGGAAATATATGCAAGAGTGAAACCTGAAATTGTGGCCGAAAGCATTGCTCTCCGGGACAACAAAATCGGCGTCAAGCTTTAAATCCTCCGATTTTTCATTCCCCCTCACATTCTCATTGACAACAGGCTCTGGTCAGAAAGATAAAAAGTCGAAACAAGAGATGATTATGAAAGTAAGAGCACATTGTTATAGAAACATAACAAGACTTGGAAGAAATTAAAATAAAATGAACGATGTACCATAAGCAATAATCGTCATGGTATAGCAGTGGAAGAAAGGCAAAATGGAAGCTGCGATGACTGATGATGAGTTTAACAAAGTCTTAGGCTCTTTTTATAGGCTAAAACCAGGCCGGGTTGCATAAAAAATTACTAAAATAAGGGCCTGCGTTTCTGAGCAAATTACACAAACACCATTTATTTCATTTATGATCAAGTAAATAGAAGAATTTATTAGTTGGGTACATTCAAGGCACACATTAAGTTAATTTTACTTTATATGGAATTGATATTTAATGTATTTAAAAATATGGTAAAAGTGGGATCCTTATTCATCTTCATTATCATATTTAATTTAATAAAATAAATTTTTTAAAAATAATTTTAGCTATCATAAAACATTGTAGTGTTATTGAAATTACCCTCATATCTTTAACTTTTTAAATGGTAAATCCACCGAATATAGTGTTTCGTCGTTAAATTGATATGATATTTACTTGTGTTCACAACAAAACAACTACATTTAGTTGACCTGTCGTCAACAATACTGGATAGATAACTTTATAACAATTCCAACAATATTGATAATATCGTCATGTTTGAAAACATGACCGTTAATCGACGACACGACTGTAGTTTGTTTATCTTAATGGATGACACATAGATTTCAGAAATTTTAACTTATTTTTTTATTCAATTTTTTGATAATTAATATTTATTTATAGTTTAAACTTTTTATCTAATAATTTAAATATAAGATTGTTTTGTCTGACCATTTAACAATGGAATTCATCCGGATTTTAATTCCAAATTTTATAAAGATTTTTGATTACATCAAAGTATTTTATTTACTATAACATATAAACACAATTCTCATTAATGTTACTTTGTCATTAATTTTAACATATATTTTCTACTTTTTTTTTTTTTTTTTTTAAATGAGTTGATGTTATATGAGAACACATTACATGAGTTGATAATTTTAGTATAAGATATACAGACTATGACTGATGGATATTTTCTTAAAAAAATTACTCTGACTTCATATGTCTTCCTAGTTCTATCAATAATAATAAAAAAAATCTATAAATTATAATAAGAAAAATGAATATTTCGAGTATATTTTTGTCTTCGCAAAAAGTCTCACCTCGTTTTCATCAAAAAAATTTAAATTAAAGTGTACATGGTAATTATACACATTAAGAAACAGTTGTTATATTGGCCAACCAATGGAAACTTTATATACACTTAATTAATTATAAAAAAAAATAAGATTCTCATATCCTAAAATGAATTTGTTTGGACAAGGATGGCATTGTTGTAGTTTTAAGAAAGAAGCAGGGGTAAATAAAAATAGAAATAAAAAAGGATATATAGAAGAAGAAGAAGACAAATACGGTTTGAGTGGAATTAGGAAGTAGAAATTAAAAATACACGTAAGATATTTGTTGTTATTCAAAAAAATGAAATAAGAAATACGTGTTCAAAAAATAAATAGAAGGGTGTATCCAACGCTGTAAACGTTCTGGCACGTTGCAATCACCACTTCTAACCGTTAACGCCTGGCAATCTTCTTCTTTCTTTTCTTTATACAACATTTTTCTTTTCAATTCAATATCATGTTTAATTAGTATTATCATTATTGAAGAATCTTTTTCATGTTAAACCAATGTTTGATGAGATAATAATAACTTGTTTAAGGTGATTGTTGATGCATGATTTTGACACCAACTAAACGCACGTGAAAAATACTAAGCTGACTCAGATGACACACGTGTATGGGGGTATTGAACTGAATAAAAGATGACGAACGGTGTTTAAAGTGGTTCAGATGCTTAAGAAAGCAAATCATACGTCCACTAGTATCGTATTAATATATTTGAGATCAGGTCGCGATCAGCGAACTGACTTACAAGAGATTACAAGAGAGAGAGAGAGAGAGAGAGAGAGAGAGAGACAGAGAGAGAGAGAAATGAGCTAATCCCACAAATGGGAGAAATGAGCTAATCCCACAAATGGGAGAGGAATCCCCTATTTATAGTGGGATGAGTTGAGGTAATGATTACTAAATTAAGGAGTGGGTCAGATTGCCGTGCAAATCCTTCCTTGCGTCTTGTTGTTCACTTGTTCGAGTGATTTACTCGACTCTTGCAGGGATTGGACACGTGGATCGCCTCCAGCCTTTCACCAGCCTAGCGCACACCCACTGCATTGGCAAGAGCATGCCACTTGCATCAGAGTGCGACGTGGCTGCGTCTGAATGGTTGTTGGACTTACCTAAGCTCTGACCACTTACGCTGACAGGGCTCTGCGTCAGCCTTACTTTTCCAGGCATAACATAAGTCCCTTAGTTTTTAAGGTTTCAGAATCGAACCTTGGAAACTATATATTATGCCTTGATTTGATGTGTTTGAAGAGATACTAGTCGATCCGACCTGGCTGCAAAGAGGTCGAAGAAACGTTTCCATGTAGGTGACCTGACATGGCTTACTCTTAGGGTCAGCGACCTATTCTTAGACCATGTTCAGTGCCATAACGATGACTGGTTTTCAACCGAGATCCGCGACCTTATTGCACTTAGCGGAATTTTTCGCTGAAGACAAAGAATTGCGTCGCTTTGCAACTAACATAAGATGAAGAGTGTTTTATACAACGACCTCTTCAGATGTTATCCGTTGCACTTTTGTAGCTGATACATTTAATGAAATATCTTTTGCTTTGACAGACGTGTCCTGTGCGCAATAAGTGCCAGCCATGCGCATTAAATGCTAGCCATGCTGAAATGACATTCCCTATCAGAGCATTAAATGCGGATGTGGGCGCATTTAATGTGGAGGAGGGAAACGTGCTGTCGCTTGAGTGTTTCAATGGAAGAGAATGACGATTTGGTTTCTCGAAGCTTGACGGTCACTCTTCTCTATTGATTTGCAACACGTGGTTGTGATCAACGGTTAGATGTGTTTTCCGTCCAAACGTCGTTTGACTTGGGGAAACCAAAGCGCCACTTCCTTCACTATAAAACCCCAAGCTCACTTTAGGTAATGCCACAATACTCACCTTCTCAGAGAGAGCAAAAATTTGTGTGAGTCCTGGTTCTTTGGCTATCAGACTGGTGCGCGCTTGATATTTGAAGTAGGAGGATTCATCTTCTCATTCCAAGAGGTAAAGATGGTTTCTCTACCACTTATTTTTATTTCTTGTTTTCGATAGTCTGCCGTTAGTTGATCGGAGATGAAATATTCTCCTTGGGTTTGAGCCATTTGATGGTGGCTCTAAAAGTATTTTGTTAAGGTTTTTCTAGGGTTTAAGGGAGAAGGTTTTTTACTTTCTCCTCCACGTCATCGTACGAAACAGTGTACGTGGACTGAATGATTCCTTGCATGTCGCATTTTTCAGACCACAGTAGAATAGACATCCCGAAAACCAGAATTAAGAAGGGGACCAGCTCGCCTGTGCAGGATGCTCATGTGGGTCCCCCTCAAGAGATCCTGTCGATGATTACTATCGAAGACATTCAGATGGTGGTAGACCAATACGCTCTCAGCGTGGAGGTCTTCCAAGATAGGATACACATAGCTCGGAATCCGCCACAAGGGATGGCTGCGATCTCCGAGAACATTTTTAAGAGTGGAGGGTTGATCCCTTTGCACCCGTTTGTCAGGTCGGTCCTCGATCATTTCGGGATCGCACTGTTACGCCTAACGCCTAACGCATATATGATAGCAGTGGCTATTTATATCGCCTGCGGCGAGAACAGATTGGGCAAGCTAACCACGCTAGAGCTCGGTTGCTCGTACATCCTGAAGAAGAGTAAGGACAAGGATTCCTTCTACCTCTCCAAGCACTCTACGATAGAAGCGGGAATACATAGTTACCCCAGCAATGTAGGAGCATACGAGACAAAGTTCTTTTTCTTTCGATACGATGGCATTTGCCACTTTCTGGAGCCGAATAGGTTCTCATTTCTTTTGAGGTCGCGAATTTCCCTTTTGGTCTTCGCTAATGAGCTCTTTGTTTTTTCACAGTTAACAAAGAGCTGGTCCCCTCCTCAATTCTGGTCGTTGGGATGTCCATTCTAATGCGGTATGAAAAAAGCGACATATAGGGAATTATTCAGTCCTCGTACACTGTTTCATATGATGACATACAGGATGCTCCTGTGGGTCCCCCTCAAGAGATCCTGTCGATGATTACTGTCGAAGACAATCAGAAGGTGGTAGACCAATACGCTCTCAGCGTGGAGGTTTTCCAAGATAGGATACACATAGCTCAGAATCTGCAACAAGGGATGACTGCGATCTCCGAGAACATTTTTAAGAGTGTAGGGTTGATCCCTTTCCACCCGTTTGTCAGGTCGGTCCTCGATCATTTCAGGATCACACCGCTACAGCTAACGCCGAACGCATATATGATAGTAGTAGTTATGTATATCGCCTGCAACGAGAACGGATTGGGTGAGTTAACCGCGCTAGATCTTGGTTGCTTGTACATCCTGATGATGAGTAAGGACAATGATTCCTTATACCTCTCCAAGCGCTCTACGATAGAAGCGGGAATACATAGTTACCCCAGCAATGTAGGAGCATACGGGACGAAGTTCTTTTTCTTTTGATACGATGACATTTGCCACTTTCTGGAGCTGAGTAGGTTCTCCTTTCTTTCGAGGTCGTGAATTTCCCTTTTGGTCTTCGCTAATGAGCTCTTTGTTTTTTCTGAGTTAACAAAACGACCAGGTTATCGCTCCTCGAGGATCCAGACATAATCACTACCTTCGGTTTTCTGCCCGAAGAGAGTTGCGACGCAAGGGTACTCATGACAACCACAAATTTGCGAAAGTACAATTTCTTCAACCCTGAAGCGACCTTAGAGACCTTATCGAGTAAGCTTCTTAACCTTAGCTTGCTTTTTGATTTTTTATGCAGCGAACTGTTTTGCTAACGATGTTCGCATGCAGCGACCATGCCTCCCAAGGTGCCCAGATCGCCATGACCGAGGCAGTTCACCTTCCCCTGAGTAAGCGCCACCGGACTGACTAGAGCA